CACCCTCCCTTCCCCCCCTCCTCCCCTCCCCACCTTCAAACACTTTAATTCCATTTTTACATTTTCTCATATTTTTTTCCTTTTCCCTTATTCCCCTTTCCCTATCCTTCTCACTGTCAATTCATAGCTTTTACATTGCTTTTCATTCTAAGTAGCAATGTAAAACCCCACACTGTCCTGCTTTATCCTGGCTGGGGCACAAATCATCCCTTTGTTCAGTGTATCCATGCTGTATATATTACCCACTTGTTAGTAATTTAGTCTCAGGTGTCAGATCAGTTATCACAGTATAGCAGGCTTGTGCTTAAGTAGTCCTCATTTTACACAATCATGGCCCCAAGGAACAAGAGTTACCAGACAGAAGAGTTAAAGATAAAAGACAGATTAGCTCTGGTTCTATGTGGCAAAGCTGTAGGGCATATAGGAAAAGCTATACGACATGTATGAACAAATATGGTATGTCTGTAAAGGTTCAGTACGATCTATGGTTTCAAAGATCCACATACACCCCATAGATAAAGGAGACTGCTATAAACAAAGTGATACATAAGACCATTTTAGGTGGCACACAAACTATCCTAAAATTTGAATAGTTACGCATTCATTTTAATGTGTATTTGGGAAAATATATATAACTATGCTATGGTTTGTGTTTCGATGTCCCCCTAAAATCTCATGGAGTCGTGGGTGGGGCTTTTTCAGAGGTGGCTGCATCTAGATTGTGTGGCACTGGAACTGACTCCTGGTGCAGTGCTAGGATCGAGGGCACTAGGATTAAGGGTGTGAGTGCTACCTGCCCTGAGTAGCGTGGATAAGATATAAGGGATAGAAAGAGCTGTGGTCATTGCTTGCTTGCTCTGCTACTCCTGTCTGCCATGAAGTGTTTCTCCTCTGTGATGCCTGTCTGCTATGCCACCCTGCCTTGGAGTCATCTGATTATGGGCTGAAACCTCTGCAAACTGGGAGCTAAATAAACCTTTCCTCCCTTAACTTGTGGGTGCTGGATATTTTGTCTCACTGAGGAGAAAAGTAACTAAGACAGTGAGTTCCTCAATCTATACATGAAATGAAAATTTAGCCTATTCAAAGAAACATAGTCTGAGCTACTTCCAGCAAGAAACTTGTTGGGTCAGGGCAGCAGGAGCCCCTCCCCATGTTGTCCCCTTTTAGGAAGTCCCCACTCCTGGATGCCTCACTCCGCTCAGTGCTGACATCCTCAGCTGTCTTTTTCTCATTCTCCAAGTGAAGCAGGTTTTCTGCACCCTTCGCTCTTACCTTTGAATAAAGTCTTCCTTGCCATTTTGACAAGTGAAAGAAATATCTTGTCCTTAATAGCGGTATGGTAATATGGCCCAATGATAAGGCGGTACAAGAATAAGCAAAGATGTGTGGGAAATGCACCACCTCACAGATCTCTCACTGCTGGGAGTTCAGTGGACACTGGACTCTGCTGCTGTGCTGTGAAACCCCTGCCGGTGTGGAGCTAAATTTACCAGCAACACAGTGCAGAGGAATCCTGCAGTGCCCTCAACAGATACCTGTTCTGATGGCTAACTTAGGTCCAAGGTTCCCTGACTACCCTGCTGACCATTTCTGGGCAGTGCCCATCTAAGGCATTTCCCTCTAGCCCTGCTTCCCTTTCTCCTGCATTGGAGTACAATTTGCATCACTGCCAGGCAGCTCAGCCTCCCAGCTCCCTCCCCATTTTCTTTTTCTCTTTTCTTTTCTTTCTTTCTTTCTTTCTTTCTTTCTTTCTTTCTTTCTTTCTGTCTGTCTGCCTTTCTTTCTTTCTTTCTTTTTATCTTTGAGACAGGGTCTAGCTATGTAGCCCAGGCTGGCCTTGGACTCTCAGTGATCCTCCTGCCTCAGCCTCGGAGTGCTGGGATTACAAGCTTGCACCACCACACCTGACTCCCTCCCCATTTCTGTCCTGCAGATGTTTCCTGGAGTAAATCCTTGCACATTTGATCTTGTCTTGCTGTCTGCTTCTTGGAGGATGTAGAGTAAGACAGGAAGTATCGCAAACACTGTGCACATGATAAATACCTTTTTGCAATGAGCTCCAACCAAGAGTTTGCCTCTATAGGCAAGTGTGCAGTCTCCAGTTGCCAGACAACACCAACCACATGCCTTTTAGCTTCCCTTTTTGACTTGGCTGCCAGGAAACTTATAGCCAAACTGGACTCCAACCTCAAAAATCAACTCATCTCAAAGGATAGGGACATCTCCTCTTGGCTGTTCTTCAGTACTCTAGCTTTGGGTTCTATTTACCATGTAACTTAAATGCCTCAGATTCTGCAGAATACCTCCTTCAAAAGGAAGTAGGATAGAAACTGCAATTTTCAAAATCAAAGGTTACGGTCCAAGACCTAAAGTTTGTTTAGGCCAAGGCTCCTTGTGCCCATGGGTTCCCTTAATGGCTCTGGATGAGTTGGTGCAGAATCTACTGGGCTCACCTAGCATTTCTAAAGCCCCACTTTCCTCCTGGCTCTCGTTTGTCCACTATGAGACACATGTCACTATCAGGGCACGATCCCTAGTCTGCTCTAGGCTGATAGTGGGCCGGGTGTTACAGCCACATCTGCCCACCTGGCCTCTCTGCTGGGTAAAACAATATCTTCTCAAACTGGCAAGGACACCATTTAGCCTGGTATGGAGGCTGGTCACAATCTGTCTTTCCATCTATTCATTTCCACCTTGCATGAAGATTTAAAGAGTTAATGCAGGCTGAGTTATTTAGAAATTAATTGGTGTCTGTCTCTCTCTCTCTCTTCCTTCCTTCTTTTCTCCTTCCATTTTTCTTTCTCTTCTTCCTCTTCCTCCCTCCTTCCTTCCCCCCATCTTTCCTTCTCCCTCTCCTCTCACTGAAAGACGTAAAACTGCCACAACTGATTTCCTCTCTTCCTCTTCATTAGAAGGGCAACCAAGCCTTTGTCTGCTGAGCCCATCACTCCCCCTGCTTTGCAAGAGGAGTTGTTTTTATGTTTCAGAGAAAAAAAGAGAAGTTGCCAGTATCCCTGGGAGACAATGTAAATAAAATTTATTTTCGAAAGTCTGGGCATTTGAAACAAACTCTCCATCTTTGGTCCACATCTGGCTTGCAGACATGTATTGCTTGGGCTCTGTAGTATCTTTAAAAGTGAATTAACTGCCAGTATTTATGCTAGTACTTATCAGGAGATTTGGTACAAAACTTTGGGTGTCTGGCATCGCTTGAAAATGTGAGAATCTGTTGACCCTGGGCAAAGATGGGACAATCTCCCCAGCAGGGGCTGGGGAGCAGCTGCCCCCTTGAGATGGGCACAGTTTCTCTAATTCTTCACAGTACTTGTTCTTTTGGGTTCACTCATTCATCCCCTCTAGCTGGCTTGTGGAGGCGTGTGAGTTCAAGATCCATGGCTAGCTAATTAAATCAATCCACTGGATTGTCCAAAAAGAGCGAGAATGAGACTGAGGCTTTTAGTTAAAGAGTGCAGGTTAGATTCGTCAATACTGTGAGAGCACAGCGTTGCAGGTTCCAGGGATTGGGGAAGACCAGAGCCAGCTGGGTCCTAGTTTACAGGTGATAGCAAAGATCAAATGAAGGTAACGAAGCACTAAACTCTGTGCCTCTGAGTTCATGGCATAGGTCTTCTGGGCCACCTTTGTCAGAGCAATGGGGATGTCCACCCCAGGAGCTTCTATCTCCCTCCAAATCCCACACACCTGGCCAACCAATTCTGAAGGCTGCAGCCAAATGGACAGAAGACCACAGGCTTCTCACAGCTACCAAGTCGGGCAGGCACCTGAGTTGATGACACTGGAATTCACACTGATCTTGGAAAATGAAACTTGAAGTAGATTTGATTTGATTATGCAGAAGAAAAAAATGGAGCACTTCTTATGCAAGTTTTTTTTTTAAATTTCTGCCCCTCATATATGATATGCGTGGCTAACACCATCATTAGCTAAGAAGGGTCAAAAACAAATGGTATTCATTGTTATCATCCTCTCCTCCACCTGGTAATACAAGATATTACTGTAAGGTAATACTAGTAACATTTAAATAGCACTCAACAGAGATTATCTGATAGGTGTGGTAAGAAAATGCTATATGTTCATTAAATGAATTTCACTATATTGCAAGGAGGACTACATTTCCCAGACTCTGTTGGACTTACAGAGGAGTCATATGACCACTTCTGGCCAATGAAATGTGGTAGAAGTGATGTACAGACCTGGTTGTGAAATTCTGTGCCCTATCCTCCATGCTGTTCCTTTCTACAGTGACCTTGGAGGACACATGTTGAAGATGATGGTGCCACAGGAGGGAAAAAGCATTAGATCCTGAATGACTGCTTGAAACCCAGAATAGTCTGTGATGTGAGTCCAAAAGGAGTATTTGTTGTGCTATTCTGGTAGTGTTTGGGGCCATTTGTTACAGTAGCTAGCATTCTCTGATTGACTTGTGATTTTTCCCCCCCTCAATGTATAGCCCACTTGATTCTGAAAAGAGCCCTGTGTGATTGGCGGACAAATACTGTTCTCCTTGTTTTATAGATCCCATGTCTAGAACCCTTGCCCTCATACTGTATCGCCTCTCCAACTGCTGATGATCATACCTAGAGGGACCCCAGAGCATCTGTTCCCATTTTACAGATGGGGAAATGAGGCTGAGAGAGGATGTGTGATCTGCTCAAGGCCACAGAACTGTTGGAAGCAGAGCTTCTCAGTCAAGCTCTGTTCCTTGAAAGCCTCCCTCTTAGCTGGGACAATTTGCCTGCCTACTGGGGAAAGACTTCAGAGGATATATCCAGGTCAGACTGTACATATCTATGTGCGGCTGGAGTATGAAATGGAGAAATGAGCACTCCTGATGAAGCTGTCTGAAGCAAGAGTCCCCACTCTGACACAGGTGTTATTTCAGCTAAAGAGATAGCTGGTTCCTGCCTGTGCTTGTGGTGAAAGGGTATGCAGAAGAACACAAGTTGGAGAAAGTTGATGCTCATTTCTTTTGCAATAGATGTGACATCTATACAGGTACATGTGTGTGGGTGGTTGTCCTTGCCTAAGAAGTCCCTCCTCCTTCTTCAGGACAGGGATGTTCAAGGGCATTACAGCCTGTGAGGTGTGGTCCTTGGCTTGCTGTTTGACCATTAGATGGTACACATTTGTGGGAAGAGTCATCTATCCTTGCCCCAGGATGACACAGAGTGAAGAGTTAAGACTTTGGAAATGGGTTCCAGTCTTGGATTTTCCGTGTAGTAGCTGTGTACCATTGAGCATTATATATAAGCTGCCTGAGCCTTTGTTTCCCTTCCATGGAAACAAGGGAATCACAATGATATCTCTACATCATAGAAGCCTTCTGACACACAATTCACAGTGAAATCATTAAGAGTACAGACGTTGGAGCTAGATTTCTAGGTTCAAATTTTGCTTGGATCTCATGACCTAGTGGGGGAAAAGAAAACTTTCCCTCATCGCGCTTCAATTTCCCCTCTGTAAAGTGAGAGTAATAATAATAATACCTATTAGATTGTTATGAAGACTATATCAGTCAATGTTTTTCAAGTGTTTTTATCACTCCTAGACACATCTTTTTTTGTTCAATTGCAAGTGCTTGGTAATAAATCTTGGCTAGTCTTGTCATTACGTTCTCTGTCCAGCTCAGCAACCTACAAGCATCTGGGGCCTCGTACATGAGTGTGGATGTGAATCAATCGAGATATTCTCACACCTGAGTGCTGAGTGGGGGTCTCACAGCCTGGTTGGGTGCAGGTGGTCCTACCAGCCCCACTGGGGGTGTGCTCACACCACACACCCCTCCCCACTGAGCACTCAGGCTACCAGATCCTCTCCCCGCACCACACTGACCTGAGCTCTCCATGGAAGCCTGTGGGGTGTTGTGAGGAGGATGTGGTTGTCTTGGGCAGCAGAATGGAAAGCAGAACGGTTGTTTTTCTGCACACAGGCAGTTCTGCAAAATAAGAGACAGTTGGAGTGAGTGGTGGGAAGGCATAGAAAGTGTATTTAGGACACGGATAAGCTCCTAGGGGACCTTGGTTTCTAGCACACTGGCAGAAAGTAGAGATTTGAGAAATACTTAAATAACATTGAAATGGTAGGAAGTCTAGATTTATTTAAGAAATTCAGGAGGCCCTATGTATCTGTGGGTTCCACATATAGATTCAACCAACTGCTAATGGAAAATAGTTGAAAAAAAGTTGCATCTGAACTGAGAACATACATTTTTTTTCTTGTCATTTTCCCCTGAATAATATAGCATAACAGCTATTTTACATATCGTATTTGACTAGATATTATAAGAAACCTAGACTGATTTAAAATATAAGGGGAGATATGCACAGGTTATACACAAATTCTACATCCTTTTATATAGGGGACTTGAGCATCCATGAATGACGTCCTGGGGGGAGCCCTGGAACCCACCCCCTGACGATATCATGGGACAAGGATACCTACGTAAAACTTAAAAACTTAAATGGTGCTTACTGTTTGACAGGCACACTTCTAAACACTTTTTTAAAAATCACTCTTTAATATAAATATTAAGCTCATGAGATGGGTACTGTTTTCTACCTGTTCTATAGTTGAGGAAACTGAAGCACAGAGAAGTTAAATAACTATTCATGGCCAAATAGCCAGGAGGAAAAGGAATGTGGACTTGAACTCAGATCATTTGGTTCTAGAGCCCAGAACCTTTAGCTTGACCACAAGCTGCCCATTGTGACCCCCAAAGTCTGCTCCCCAGAACAATAAGCCTGAAAACAGAAAGGGAGGAATGGTGAACAAACCCAAGGGTTTGTTCTTTCAAGAGAAAACAATCAAGCACAGGCTTGGGAAAGCTGATGGAGAGAGAAGAAGGGGCAATTTTAGGAATAATAAATGTCATATGTCAAACCTATGGAATAAAGAACAATTCTGCTATTCAAACTGCTCCAAAGCATAGAGAAGAAGGTAAGATTCTTGGTTTTTTGGAAAAGGCCAGCTTAATCTCAATCTCAATAGCTAATAAAAGTAGTTTTTAAAAATGAATCAAACAGAGCCGGGTATGTAGCTCAGTGGCACCACACCTGCCTTGCAAGCACGAGGTGCTGGGTTCGATCCCCTGGTACAAAAAAAAAAAAAAAATTAAATTAAATTAAAAAATCAAGCATGTGTTCAATTCAGCAGCACATGTACTAAAAATAGATCAAGCATTTCAAAATCACTGGAATGGCTTATAAAAAACTCAAATAACAAGCGAACAAAAACACTCCCCCAAAGCCCACATCATTTATAATGGAGAAAAACAAGAATAAACTTAAAATCCAAACTGTAGAATAGCCATGAAATATTTTATAGTCATCTGTGCTTTAGAATTCTATGAAGTGATAAAATGATGATGTTTATGCGTAAACAAAAGACAAAAAAGACCTGAAAGTAGAAGAGGGACTGTGGGGAAGGGGCAGGAAGAGGGAGAAGGAAAGAAAGAGAGGGTAAAAGAGGGTGGTAGGGTGGATGGGTATCGTAAAGCACAGTGTACACATATATGGAAATGTTAAGTGAAATATAAATTGATATTTATACTAAGTGCTTTTAAAATGGTGACGTGTGTCTATAGTTACTGAATTCAGAAGACTTTCCAAAGTATTTCTTTGTAAGCAGTGGATAAGGAAACATCACATTTCTCATATCAATTTTTAAGTTTGCAAACTTCTAAGTTTGCAAATATGCATTGAAAAACTTCAGGAAAAACAAATAGAAAAACATGACACCAGGTTCTGGTTCTGGAAAAGATAAAGTACGCGCCTTCTATAACTCTCCCACTAGGCACAGCTGAGAAGTTCAAATGCTATATCTGGAGACGCTTCATGAGTATTCAGAAAAGTAGAAGATATCTGGCAGAATGTTGAAGGAAACCAGGACTCAAAGTAAGAACGATCTGACATTGTATTTTGTGGTTTTGCCTCACTATGGTAATACCCAGTCTGGATAGAGACAGAGGAAGAACTTTCTTCTTTTTAGTCACTCCTGTGATGGCCCCAGGCAATCCAGCAACAGGGATAGGAGTGTCAGCCCTGCAGGTGACTAAAATTCTGAGGCAGGGAAACTCTTCTCTTATAATTAGAGGAGGACTGGGGATTTAGCTCAGTGGTTCTGCCACCTGCCTCGCAAAAAGGTCTTGAGTTTGATCCCTGGTACCAATAAACAAACAAAAAAACTGGAGGAACTATGGTCTGAAGGCCATGGAAAGAATCCCTATTGCTTTTCTCCTTTCAGATTAACAAAACAGCTAGAGCGAACAAAATGAATAATAAAATGGCAGATTTCCAAATGTAGTAAGTAATTACATTAAATGTAAATGGTCTAAACACTAATAACTAAAGGACTAGCTTTATGTTGTCTACAGCATAAAGTTCATTTCAAATATGATACAAATAAGCTGAAGGCAAAAGGGTGAGAAAGTAAAGGCTCTGTCATGCAAACACTAAACATAAGAAAACTTAAGTGGCCATATCAACATAAGACAGAAGATTTCAGAGAAAGAAAACTTACTAGGAGAAAGGAGGAACACTACATAGTGACAAAAGGATCAATTCATGAGGAAAATACAACAATCTTAAATATTCATGAACCTAACCACAGGGCTTGAAAATACTGAAAAGAAAAACTAACTACCTAAAGAATAAAGGATAAGAGGAAAAGATTCACCATTATAGTTGGAAATTTTAACAGGCCTCATAATAATTGATAAGACAAGAGATAGAAAAATAGCCAGAATATACAGAAATGAAGCAATATTATCAGCCGAGTTAAACTGGCATATATAGAACATCATACAAAACAATACCAACATACAAATTCTCTGTAACTATACATGCGACATTCACCAACATAGATTATATCATGGATCATAAAACAAACCTTAACAAATTAAAAATACATACAAAGTATATTCACTGATCATAATACAATTTGTATTTGAAATCAATAAGATAATGATGACTCGAAAATCTCCAAATACTTGGATATTAAAAAGTATGATTCTAAATAATATGTGGGCCTCTAAATAAACATTTCTCAACTTATATTTAAATTTCAGCATTACCTTGACACTAAAATCAAAGAAAAAATGGCTGGGGATTTAGCTCAGTGGTGCTGCTGCCTGCCTCTCAAGCGCCAGGTCCCAAGTTTGATCCCTTGTATCAAAAAAAAAAAGAAAAGAAAAGAAAAGAAAAAGGACCAATTCCAGTATATATGAAAAAAAGTCTTTAACAAAATATTAGCAATTAAGTCCAGCAATATATAAAAAGACTAATACACAATAACTTGATGGGTTTACTCTAGGGAGCTAATACTGGTTCAAAATTTGAAAATCAATCTACTACATTATAGATTTAAAAAAAAAGAGACCAAATTACTATTTTAATTGACGCAGTATAAACTTTTGACAATTTCAACACTCATTAATGATCAGCATTTACAGAAAATGAGGAATATGAGGGAACTTTATTAATCTGATTAAATATTTATAAAAATAAGAGCATAATTAACATAGTTAATAATGAAAGACTGTTTCTTCTCAAAAATTAGGAACAGGCAAGAGTGTCCACTTTCACCTCTCCTATTCAACCTAATATTTGATGTCCTGGCAGTGTGATAAGGAAAAAAAGAGGAAGGGTGTATGGGGAGGAAGAGAAAGAGCAGAAGGAGGAAGAGATGAAGAAAAAGAAGAAAAAGGAGAAAGAGAAATATTGAAAAAGAAGAAATAAAACTATTTGCAAATCCTATGACTCTATTTGCAAGTAACATGTCTACATAGACAACCCTAGAGTGAACAAGATAAAAAATAAACACAAGATGACTGCAAAAAGCTACAATGAGAGAGAGAGGGAGTGTAGAGTGTGGCGAGACTATGAAAAATGAAGTCAACATACAGTATCAGTTGTGTTTCTGCATACTAACAACAAACAATTGGAAATTAAAATTTAAAATGCAACACCATTTACAGCAACTCCAAAAGGAAAAATAAAAAAGAAATGCCAAGGTGTAAATCTAGCAAAACCTGTGTAGGATCTGTGTGATGCAAATTATAAAATGCAAATGAAATAAATCAAAGAAAGGGCCAGGGATTTAGCTCAGTGGTTTCACCAAGTGCAAGGGCCTAAATTAGATCCCTGGCACAAAAAAAAAAAAAAAAAAAAAAAAAAAAAAAAAAAAAATCAGAAGACGTACATAAACCTACATAAATACAGAGACGTGCTATGTTCATAGTTTGAATGATCCAGTACGGTAAAGTTGTCATTTCTCTCCAAACTGACTTATAAATTAACATGATTCCAAATAAAATACCAGAGGGATTTATTTTTGTAGGTACATATAAGTAGATTCTAAAATGTACAGGCAAAGGCAAGGGAGCTGGAGTAGCCAAACAATTATGAAAAGGGACGTTAGAGGACTCACACTCCTTACTGTAAAATTACTAGGAAAAAGAGAGACTCATAGATCAGATTATATTTCCTCAGTTGTACTTGTACTTGTGTGTGTGTGTGTGTTATCTATTAATAATAACACACACTAAATTACAACAACAACAGCAGCAAAGAAAGTGACATCACTTACTCAAGCTGTAGGGTTACAGGTAATTTTTATTTTAATACATTTCTACATTTTAAAATTCCTTAATATTTTAAGTGTGTTTGACTCTACTTATTTTTATCATGCAGTGATGGTATACATAAAAGAAGAGTGCTAACATATAGATGAATTGTGAAGTATAATGAAAATGAGCTCTCATGAGCCCACCCACCCAATACAAGAACACTAACTCTGCATTGTGCTATAAAATCTGAACAAAAATCAGATGTTTTTTTCTTCCTTATAGTTTTTTATTAAATTTCTAGAATAAGCATATTAATTTAAGATGCATTTAAAATTATTTAAAATATGTGACTCTTTGTTTTCTCATTGAGT